AATATGGACAGTATGTTACCTTCTGTGTAAGAAAGAGGGACTATAAATGTTTGTGTGTGTGTGTTATTTTTTAAAGTAGCAGTAGTAGGGTTAAACCAAAAGCCAATATAAAATGGCTGGGGCACCTGGGTGGCTCAGTCAGTTAAGTGTCTGTCTGCCTTCGGCTCAGGTCATGATCCCAGGGTCCTGCTCAGCAGGAAGCCTGCTTCTCCCTCCCCTGCTCACCCTGCTTGTGCTCTCTCTCTCTCTCTCTGTCAAATAAATAAATAAAAATCCTTTAAAAAAATTTAAAAAGAAAATGGTTACCTATAGTGGAAGAAAAAAAAAACAGGAAGCAGGAGATGTCAAATAACATATGAAAAGATGCTCAACATTATATGTCATTAGGGAATTGCAAATTAAAACAACTGTGGTATACCACTATATACATATTAGAATGGCTAAAATCCAAAACACTGACAGCACCAAGTGTTGGCAAGAATGTGATATAATAGGAACTGTCATTCATTTCTGGTAGAAATACAAAATGGTACAGCCACTTTGGAAAATAGTTTGGCAGTTTCTTATAAAACTAAACATACTCCTACCAAATCGTACCCCTTAGTATTTGCCCAAATAAGTTAAAAACATATCCACCCAAAGCCCTACACATGGATGTTTATAGCAGCTTTATTCATAATTGTTAAAACTTAGAAGTAACAAGATGTCTTCAGTAGGTGAATGGATAAACAACTGTGGTACATTCAGACAATGGAATATTACTAAGTTCAATAAAAAGAAATGAGCTATCAAGGGACAAAAGACATGGAGGAATCTTAAATGCATATTGCTGGGGCGCCTGGGTGTCTCAGTCGGGTAAGCCTCCGACACTTGGTTTCAGCTCAGGTTGGGCTCAGGTCCTGATCTCAGGGTCGTGAGGTGGAGTCCGCTTCGGGCTCTGACTGAGTGCTGAGTCAGCTTGAGACTTTCTCTCCCTCTCCCTCTGCCCCTACCCACCACACTCGCTTGCGCTCCCTCTCTCTCTAAAATAAATAAATAAATCTTTTTAAAAAATGCATATTGGTAAGTAAAAGAAGCGAATATGAAAAGGCTATATACTGTATGACTCCAATTATATGGCATTCTGGAAAAGGCAAAAGTATGAAGACAGTAAAAAGATGAGTGGTTGCCAGTGGTTGTTGAGGAGGAGGGAGGAAAGAAGGGACAGATGAATAAGTGGAGCATAGGGGATTTTTAGGGCCCTGAAACTATTCTGTATCATATTGTAATGGTGGATACATGTTATACATGTGTCAAACCCCATAGAATGTACAACACAAAGAATGAACCTTAGTATAAAACATGGTCTTTGGTTAATAATAATGTATCAACATTGGCTCATCAGTTGTAACAAATGTACCACACTAATACAAGATGTTAATAAAGGGGAAAGGGTGGAGGATGGGGGAAGGGGAAGGGAGTATATAGGAACTCTGTTCTTTCTTTCTTTTTTTTTTTATTTTATTGGAACTCAGTTCTTTCTGTCCATTTTTCTGTAAACCTAAAATTGCTTTCAAAAGATAAAATCTATTAAATAAGAGATGGAAATAAACCTTTCTGAATGAAATTTGTCAGATAGTTTTGATCTGGAACCTTGCAAATGTGGTTATTAAATAACTTAAAAACATAAGGTTAACTTAAAAAAATAAAAGAACAAAACAATCCCTAAAAATCTAAGCCAAACTGAAACAAGTGAGCTTAATTCTACATCAAGTTGATGGTACAACCAGAGAAGAGCTATTTCAGGTGATCGTGAAAGCAATATTTTGACTACATTTTTTTGTGGGATATATTCTAAAGACTATAGGAATGACAAAGAAATCTTAACCTATATTTAGTTGTTTTAGTGTTAATTAAAATACTGTGATTACTCTTTTGAAACTGTTATTTTAAAAATACCTATGCACATATATTCTAATAAAAATATTAATCATTAACAATTAACAATTACATATTTGCTTTTTCCTACCATATATTTTGATCCTTCCTGAAAGCAAATAATATGTTAATGTTATAAAAACAAATTTTTATCTTAAGAGAACAGAGATAAAATATAAAATAAAAAATTAGCTGAAATTTCTAATCTTCAATTTAAGTAGAAATTATCAGTATGAACTCATTATTTACTTTCTCTTTCAAAAAAATGGTTATTTCCTTGTTCTGCTAACTGGAAAAGTCTGGAAGTAATAATAACTTATTACTTATTAATAAGTTAATAATAACTTAATAGGGATGCAACAAGCAACCCTAGTGCCCAGAGTGTTGTCTCAAAATACCAAGGAAGCAAATTCTATGGTGAAATAGCTAATTTCAGATCTAGAATAAGAAATATACCTGGTGAATCTGGGGCCTGAAAACCAGGAAGCTATCAAACACTACAGGGGTTATGTCAAAATGACCAAGAGCCAAACTGAAGAGGCTCTGCTGGCTGAAATTGGCAACAATGTGAGCATCAAAAAGAATAATAAGGCACTTATCATATGATCTAATCGAGTAAAAGGATTCAGAGAAATGATTTCATTTTTAGGAATTTCTAAAAAACTTAAATCAAATCTATAGTGACAGAAAGCAGATCAGCAGTTGCTTCGGGCCAGAGATGGGGTAGGACTGACTGCAAAGGGGTGCAAAGGAACTTTTTTGATGATGGAAATGTTTTATATCCTGATTGTGGTGGTAGGTACATAGGTATGTACATTTTTCAAAACTCATTCAATTGTACTCTTTACATGGGTGCATTTTATTGCATATAAATTATACTTGAAGATAGTGTATTTTTAAAGAAATAATCATTGCAATGGATAAAAAATATGTAAAAATCCTGCCAGAATTCTTAATAATTCTTAATTTTTAAAAAAGATTTATTTATTTATTTATTTATTTAGACAGTGGGGGAGGGGGAGAGAAAGAGGGAGAGAGAGTTGTAAGCAGACTCCATGCTGAGCACAGAGCCTCTCACCTGGAGCTCGGTCTCATGACCCTGAGATCAGGACTGTGAGATCATGACCTGAACTGAAAGTAAGAGTCCGATACTTAACCAACTGTGCCACCCAGGCACCCCTTAATAATTCTTTTTTTTTTTTTTAAGATTTTATTTATTGGTCAGAGAGAGAGTGTGTGTGTGCAGGAGCAGGGGGAGTGGCAGCCAGAGGGAGAAGCAGGCTCCCCACTGAGCAGGGAACCCGTCTTAGGATTCCATCCCAGGACCCTGGGATCATGACCCGAGCCAAAGGCAGATGCCTAACCGATTGAACCATCCAGGCATCCCAATAATTCTTTAAATAAAACCTTTTTGGTCACCAAATTGCTAGGTTACCAGCTCATTATTCTAAAAATTGATAATTTGGAAATTATCAAACATATACTTCTTTTCCTATATGCGCTGGACTTCAAGGAAACTACTCATTGATGAGGGAGAGTTCTTTATAGAAGCACTGCAGTTAATAAATGCAGAAGGAATGATAAAATTAGATTATCATTTTTTAATCTTTTATGAAAGGATGGATCTAAGCAATGATTACCAATGGTTGCTAAAACCATGAGGTAAAAGGTTGATGAGGGACCTTATTCTTATATGTATTGATGGATGAGGTTGACCACATTTGAACCTACCGACTGCCAACCAGACATTATGTGCCTCTTGATGTGATACAATAGATAGTGTATAGCATCATGTGTGAAGTAGTCTTGCCTAAATAAATAAACCTGAATCTAAAACAAGCCTCTTGGTGGGGCACCTGGGTGGCTAGTCGGTTGAACACTGGGGTCTTGATTTTGGCTCAGGTCATGATCTCAGGGTTGTAAGATCAAGCCCTGCGTCCGGCTCTGTGCTCAGCACAGAGTCGGCTTGAGATTCTCTTTCTCTCCCTGTCCCTCTGACCCTCCCCCCACTCTCTCTCTCTAAAATAAATAAATAAAAACAGAGAGGGAGGCAAACCATAAGAGACTCTTAACTATAGGGAAAAAACTGTGGATTGCTGGAGGGGAGGTGGGTGGGAGGATGGGGTAACCGGGTGATAGGCATTAAGGAGGGCACTTGATGTAATGAGCACTGGGTGTTATATGCAACTGATGAATCACTAAATTATACCCCTGAAACTAATAATACACTATGTGTTAACTAAATTGAATTTAAATTTTAAAAATATATAAGAAAATAAATAAATAAATAAATAATAAAATAAATAAATAAAATCTTTTAAAAATAAAATAAAATAAAACAAGCCTCTTGGGGCACCTGGCTGGCTCAGTTGGTAGAGCATGCAAATCTTGATCTCAGGGTTTTAAGTTCGAGCCCCATGTTGAGTGCAGAGAATACTTAAAAAGTAAAATCTTAAAAAAACAAAAATCCAAACCTCTTAATCGAACTTTGTTTATAGGACATACCATTCTATACTCATTAAAATGATAAAACTCGGTAAGTCTGATCTTAGCAAGCTTGATGAAGATGTGCGACATTGGAAACTGTCACGTCCTACTGGTAGGAAAAGAGCAATTTGGCCCCCACACTTTGATTTTGACAATCTTTAACCCTAGGGAAAAAAATCACTTTCTTGCCACTAGATGGTGCCTATTGGCTTATCGGTTTATTGCACTGTCTTCTATTACATTGCTTCATTTCTCTTATTACTTCTAGTGGGTCTCTGGAGGAAAGGACTAGAGTCTCACCAAGAAGTTGTAATCTAGATCCAGTCAGCCATATGAGCCATATGAGCCGTATCTGCTTTCTGGCTTTGCACAATGTTGGCCCTGGGGACAAATCATTGACACTTGCTGTCTCCCTAAGGCACTTAGTTAATTCAGTTCCTTAGCAATATCTACCTTTAATACTTTAATACTGTAAAAAATACAAGAGTATTTTTCTGAAGAATATGTTTTTCAATATATTCTTATTATTTTCAATTAGACCATAATAAGAATAGCTACATTCTCTATGTTAAGTTGTTTTTGTTTTTGTTTTTTAGTTTGAGATCATTTCAAAGCTACAGAAAAGGATGCGAAGAAATCCTGTATACTCTTCATCCAGGACCCAGGTTCTCCTACTTATTAATATTTTACCATTCTCTCCCTCTCCCTTTCTCTCTTTCTTCCTCCCACCCCCACCTTCTCATTATCTCTCATACATAAATATACAAGATATAATCATATCTAATTTTCTAAACCATGTAAGAATAAGTTGCAGACATGATGCCCGTTGGCTTTATAAACAAGGGCACTATTCTACACAACTACAGCATACCTATCAAAATCAGGAAATTAACATTGATACAGTACTATCTAATCCACAGACTTCATCCATATTTCAATTATCCCAATACTGTCCATGATAACAAACATAAAACAGAACAAAATAAGCAAAAAACAAAACAAATAATTTTTTTTAAATTTTTTATTTTATTTCTTTATTTGACAGAGAGAGAGAGCCAGAGAGCACAAGCAGGAGGAGTGGCAGAGGAAGAGAGAGAAGAAGGCTCCCTGCTGAGCAGGGATCCCCATGTGGGGCTCGATGTGGGGCTCAATCCCAGGCCCCTGGGATCATGACCTGAGCCGAAGGCAGATGTTTAACTGACTGAGCCACCCAGGTGCCCCAACAAATAATTTTTTTAAAGCCTTCCTATTTTCCCCTTTCCTTTCTGTTCTGGACCCAACTGAGAAGCACGCACAGCATTAAGTTGTCATGTATTTTCTTCAATCTGGACAGTTTCTCGGGCTTTTCTTGTCTTTAAGATCTTGACATTTTTGAAGGTCAGACATTTTGAAGGCTTTCAATTTGGGTTTGTCTATTGTTTCCTCATGATTAGATTCAGGTTATGATTTGAGGGGCAGGAATATCACAAATGTGATGCTGTGTTCTTAGTGCATCGTATCAGGAAATCTACAATGTCATTTTGTTCTGTTACAGGTGATGTTAGCTCTTATCATTTTGTTTTTCCACTGCAAACTAATTAATTGGTTATTAACCTAAAAATAGTTTCTAAGTATTTTATAGGGAGATACTTTGGGACTATGTAAATATCCTTTTTCTCATCAAACGTTCATCCACTATTTTCCCTGAACCATTAATTACTAGGGTTGTTACCACATGGTGATTTTCTAATTACATTATTTCTTCTACATTAATTAGTTGGCATTCTACCATAAAGTAGAGCTTTCTATTTATTTATTCATTTCCTTGTATCAGTGTAGATTTATGGATTCCTATTTTATTCAGTAGTTTATAATGCATTATTAATATTATTTATTTTGGTGCTCAATTTGTTTCGTATTTGGCCAGTGGGAGCCTTTTCCAGTTGAATCCTGTGTCGTTTAACATGATCCCAATATTTTCTTAAGATTTTATTTATTTATCTATTTATTTATTTATTTTTAAATATCTTATTTATTTATTTATTTATTTGACAGAGAGAGAGACACAGCGAGAGAGGGAACAGAACCAGGGGGAGTGGGAGAGGGAGAAGCAGGCTTCCCGCCCAGCAGGGAGCCTGATGCGGGGCTCCATCCCAGGACCCTGGGATCATGACCTGAGCCGAAGGCAGACGCTTAACCGACTAAGCCACCCTGGGACCCCAACATGCTCCCAATATTTTTTGAGAGCTTCTTTATTTTCTGGAGCAAGCAGATGTTTCAGACTTAACTTGTGTTTTCCTTGGAACAGTCCTGGAATTGGCAACTTATCCAATGAACCCTGGTTCCTTTAAGTAAGGTGTTTAGAAACCAAGACCTGGGTGCTAAGTTGCTCTTTGTTATAAGAGCACCACTGGTTTCAGGCCTCTTGCCAGAAAGAGCCAGGAAAAGTTCTATGCCTACCCAACATCTATATCTATATCTATATCTATCTACACAGTAAAACAACTATGAGTTCACAACATTACCTATACATCCAATCCAATTCCACAGTTTGTTCTAGTGTTCCCCTTTCCGTATTTGTACTACTTCTCTGATAATAAGAAAATTGTCTCCCATCATCATTAATACATTTATTTTCCCTGTAAGTAACCAATATCCAGATCAAGGGAGCCATCTCCTCCACCTCCTTGGTTAACATCACCAAACCAAATCCACAGGCCACCTTCTCAGTCCTGGTCCTGCCACACCTGCCAGTGACACTATTTAGTCCCTCTGACCCCAAACAGTCTCCAGTCATTCGTGATTGCGCCCTCCCCTTCACTCTGCCCGTATAATCAACCACAAAGCCCTGATTATCCTGCCTCCTAAATATTCCCTGAATCTGTCTCCTTCTTTCTACTCTTTCCATGGATGGTATAACAGGTAAACTGTACCAACTGCCTAGCAAATCGTTGATGTAATTGAGGGCGCTGGTAGATTCTTTCTCCCTCCCCCTCTAATGTTTTTTGGCTGGTGACCAATTTTTAAGGGACTTATTAACCATAATTAGAGAGTGACATGTTTCCCAGGCCATGCTTGCTCTCTCCCCGATGATTATTCAGAGCCAGGAATTGAATGGGAGGAGTTAAGCTTTGGTCCTGGCCTGCAAGGTGGGGAGACGCTCAGATGACAGAGCTGTTCTGGTTGAAGGGTGGAGGAAGAGGCAGAAGGTGAGAGGCCATCTCTATTAGTTGAGCCCCCCTGGTGGCTTGGTATCTTCTAGCTTCCAGTCCTAACCTCTAACGGGCAAATTGAAAAGCCCAGCTCTTCTCTGTAATTCTGACAGGTAACTAATACAGCATTAATCAGCTACTAACTAATTGCTAAACTCCTATGGGTAGGTGAGTGCAGCTCAGCTTGGTGCTGCACCCTCTTTTCTAGTAATTTGTCCCAAGAGTTGAGTTAACTTCCCTGTCTTTTAACTATTTCACATTGTCACTGACCTTGCCTTATCAGCTCAGAGCTGATCTAAGAAGTGCAGGTGGGGTAGGGTTGGGAAAGTGGCTTTTCTTCTGATTATAAAAGAAATCACAACTTTCCAAAAACTGGGGGACAATGAAAAGAAAATAAAGAAAATGAAAGTCATCCACAATACCACAACTCTCTGATGTAATTTCTTCCAGTTTTTCTCTGCTCTTATAAAACAACTTGATATTATAAAAGGTATTTCCTTTTATATCTTTTTTCTTAACATTATGATATCAGCATTCTTCCATTTCATTTAAAATCTTTTGAAAATATTATTAATGAAAACATAGATGTGTCCTAACAATATCCCAATTTTTACATTGAGGTTGTTTCCAGTTATTTTACAATCATAAATATTGCTGGAATAAACACTTGTGTACATAAATCTTTGTCCATTGATAATTATTTTCTTATGTTCGATTATAGATGTAGAATTATCTGGCCAAAGTTTGAACATAGTTAAGTTCTTGGAACATACTGCCTAATTGTTTTCCAAAAAGCTTGCTGGGGAAAAAAAAAAAAAAAGCTTGCTGGAATTTACACTTTCATCAGTCGTGTGTGAAAGTGAGTACCCTTCTCACTCTAGCAACACTGCACCATAAAGGATTGGATAAGAAGCAAGATAGGAAGATAAAAAGGAAGATAAATGGAAAAAAAACAGATCAAGTAGTCACTTGAGGAAGAACATTCCTATCTGACTTCCATCTTTTTACACTAGGATTTGATGGTGATATGTAGCCATTCTGATTTTCTTAGGCGCTTTTAGCCTTGGACACTATGTATACATCGAGGGAAAGAGAAGATTCTAAATTGCAAGATGCTTTGGTGGTGCTGGACGCTCAGCTTTATTATTTGGTAGGTAGGTTAAAGACATTGAATTGCCCAGGCTGGACACTTTAGAGCATCCTCTCTCCCTCTTTTCTCTTACCCTTCACATCTGATCAATCAACACAGCCAGCCACTCTGCCTCTTCTCTATCTGTCTCCATGTCCTCACCCCATTAGCTTCTCAGGTTCAGGCTGTCATCACTCTTCACCTGAACAAATGCAATAGCCTCCTAACAGATCTCTCTCAAATCATCCTTCACACAGAGCAATCTGTCTAAAGCATAAATCTAGCCATGTCATCTTCTGGTTTAAATACCCACAAGGGTGTTTAATTGCCTGCAGAATAAGGATCAAGCTCTTTATCCTGAAGACAAGGGTATTGTCTATTCCCCTCTGTTACTACTGCTTACTTTCTCCTGCCTTGAGCCTTATACATCATTAATAGCATGTTATTTACTGCCCAAACATCATTCTATTTCTTGCCTCTAATTTGCTCATTCCCACTACCTAACACACCTTTCCCTCCTCCCTGATAATGGCAGGGTTACACCTTATCCTTTTTCAAAGATAGTAATTGCCCCTCCTTGGGATCATATCACATATCCGGTTTGGACATATGATTTGTTTTGGCCCATAACATGTGAGCAGAATTATGTTTGTCACTGCCAAGTATAAGCTTTAAGAGTCAGAGTGTAGCTTGCTATGCTCTCCTCATGCCCCACCCCTGCAGCTGTGAGATCAGCAGTGCTCCAGGTAGAGAAGCTTCATCAGCTGGGTCCAAAAGTGAAGACAATACGGACAATCTGCAATAGACATGAGTGAGGGATAAACTTTTGTTGCTGTAAACCACTGAGATTTTGTAGTCATTTGTCACTGCAGCATAATGAATCGTACTCTGACTGATACAATGGCCATCTCCTAATCATCCTTCACACAAGGTACTACCTCTAATGAGGTTCTATAGTACATGTCTGGCTGCCATGTTTGGTGATACAAATAGACTTCCTATTTGGGAACCATCATTGCCCAAACCATGAGTTTGGGCAGGGGGCAGTTTCTGCCTCCCACCAAGGAGGCCAAAAAGAACCAATACCTGTTCTCCCAGATTCCTCACAGCTAGGGAATAGGCGTGTGACCTAATGTCAACCATCTAGAAACTCCCTACACATGACGTGGAGTCTTGATACAAAGAAGCAAGAATGGGATATTACAGCGTTAATTCTGGTGCTGGGGGCAGCATCCGGTGGAGTGACAGCAGTGAGAGCAGAGTTAAGGGCTGAAAACAGTGAATGTCCTGTAGCGACAAGATAAGCAGACTGTTCCGGTGGTGTGATCCAGCTGTGTTCCAGATGGCCTCGTCCCCTTATTTCCTGCTCACTTTCTGAGCCCACTTTGCCAGTTCTCCTACAATTCTTTGATGTACCCAATGTCCTTCCAATCAATCTGTTTTCTTAAATTATTCAAACTTGTTTTCTATTGTCTGCAAGAATCTTATTCCTACTCATCCCTAGGGCTCCAAGTGATCTGGTCTCCATATGGAGTCACATTTTATTTTATTTTTTTATTTTTTATTTTTAAAGATTTTATTTTTTTGACAGAGAGAGACACAGCGAGAGAGGGAACACAAGCAGGGAGAGTGGGAGAGGGAGAAGCAGGCTTCCCGCCGAGCAGAGAGCCCGACCCGGGGCTCGATCCCAGGACCCCAAGATCATGACCTGAGCCAAAGGCAGACGCTTAACGACTGAGCCACCCAGGCGCCCCTGGAGTCACATTTTAAAAGGCCAATCCTGCATCCAAAAAGAACTTTATTTTTTTTTAAAGATTTTATTTTTTATTTATTTGCGAGAGAGAGAGAGACAGAGATAGCGAGAGAGAGCACAAGCAGGGAGGAGAGGGAGAAGCAGGCTCCCTGCTCAGCGGGGAGCCTGATGCGGGACTCAATCCCAGGACCCTGAGATCATGACCTGAGCCAAAGGCAGACGCTTAACCGACTGAGCCACCCAGGTGCCCCAAAAAGAACTTTAAAAAGAATTCCAATATTTATTTAATTTCTCTGAAGAACATTAAAAGGAATCCCATTCTGATCCATATTCACCCACATTAATCATGCTCTTTCCTCACCCACCTCCACCCTGAGAAGAGTTCTCATTTTTAGAGTGTCTCGGAGCCCCAAACTCACAACCCACCTACCTCTCCACATCTGGATTGCCCAACTCTGGCACCTCTTTTCCTCTTACCCTCTTTCTCCCCCAGTTCTTTGTTAGCTAGATCATCTTACCTCACCTACTAGGTCTTTTGTATTTTATTTCACCACCCAGACCTCGTACCTCTCTACTCATTTTCTCAATTCTGCATCATCAATTCTGCAAAAGGTCTGTTGCTGTTGTCTTTATTGAGTTAGTTGCCAACATTAAACAGTGGGAGAATTCCAACACAAAACCTGGATTTCCAGGTCTTCCGAAAAATCAAAAGACCTGGCAATGTTGGGATCCCATTTTTCCACAGTAAGAGTCAACTGAAATTTGACAGCTGCTGCCTCCTTCGACAGGGCATCCCTCCAGTTCTCCATGATCTCTGCCCCATCTTCCCCACTCTGGCTCCTACAGGAATTTGAATTTGCAATTTGAATTTGCAATCCGAATTTGCAATCCATGCTCTATAATTGTCCACCTGGAATGGCAGGAAGAATCTGTGAGATGAAAGAGTGCATTTTCTTTAGGGATGGGGCCATAGAGTGAAAGGAAAGACAAAAGAAGGCAATACTTCGCATATTGTAAATCCAGTCCTCTTACAATAGGACTGATGGAAAAAGAAATGCACAGGAGAAAGTAAGGCAGCTTCAGAAAGAACCAGGGGGCCAGGAGGCAAGACAAATGCATTAAAGTGGCTTGCTGACAAGAACCAAAAAAAGTACGTTTACAAACTTTCACGAGCTTACATTTTGTTTTCATTTTTTTATTGAGTTTTTTATTTTAGTTCCAGTATAGTTAACATACAGTGTTATATTAGTTTCAGGTGTACAATATAGTGATTCAGCACTTCCATATATTACTCTGTGCTCATCATGGTAAGTGTGTGTACTCTATAATCCTCATCACCTATTTCCCCCATCCTCCCATCCACCACCCCTCTGGTGACCATCAGTTTGTTCTCTATAACTAAGAGTCTATTTCTCGGTTTGTCCCTTTTTCTTGCTCTCTCTCCTTTTCTCCTTTCATGAGCTTATATTCTTTTAAAGATTGTATTTATTTATTTGGCAGAGAGATCACAAGCAGGGGGAGCGGCAGGCAGAGGGAGAAGCAGGCTCCCTGATGAGCAAGGAGCCCAACGTGAGGCTCAATCCCAGGGTCCGATCCCAGGGTCCTGGGATCATGACCTGAGCCAAAGGCAGATGCCTAACCATCTGAGCCACCCAGGTGCCCCTTCTTAAGCTTATATTTTGAATGCTCTCTCTCTCCTCCCACTCTCCACCCCTACCAACCCCACCCCCTTCTCTATACCTGAAAGGCATCATCCTTGATGTGCCTCCAAGCTGCCAAGGAAGATATATAGTGCCTACAGTTTAGTAGCAACTACATTTGATTCCATGTTAAGCGTATATAGGGGAAAGTTTTTGAAAGGAATCATAAGATAAAAATATTTCAAAAGGAATACTTACTTTCCAAAGTTTGCTCATATTCCTTTTAATCCTAATTTACATGTGCAGTGTTAGATTTGTTTAAAGTTAGACACATCTGGGGCACCTGGGTGGTTCAGTTGGTTAAGCAACTGCCTTCAACTCAGGTCATGATCCTGGAGTCCCAGGATAGAGTCCCGCATCGGGCTCCCTGCTCAGCAGGGGGTCTGCTTCTCTCTCTGACCCTCCTCCCTCTCATGCTCTCTCTCTCTCTCAATAAATAAATAAAAATCTTTTAAAAAAATAAATAAAATAAAAATAAAGTTAGATGCATCTAACTTATCAAACAACTGGGACTAAAATTTCTTATACCAAATTTATTGTTTTCTTACAACTTTATCATAGTTCTTCACTGAGAGAACTTACTTGATATCTATATCTCTATATTGTATCTGTATTTGTATATGAAACAGAGTTTCAGCTCTTTAATACTCCATGGTTGTGAGTGAAAATAAAATGGTAAAGTTCAGGCTGGTAGAGAAGAAACCTACGGCAATATTTAAGGAAGAGAAAGTCAATAAAATAGTAGATTATTAAGGAACTCCACTTTAGGGGCACCTCAGTGGTTCAGTTGGTTAAGCATCTGCCTTCAGCTCAGGGTGTGATCCGGGCATCTGGGATCGAGCACCCCCCTCACAATGGACTCCAGGCTCAGTGGAGAGTCTGCTTTTCCCTCTCCCTCTGCCCCTCCCTCACCCTCTGCCCCTCCCCACCTCCCGTGCACACACTCTCTCTCAAATAAATAAATTAAATCTTAAAAAAAAAAAAAAGGAACTCTACCTTAACATAATTCACCCTTGTA